CAAGCCAGATTCAGGAGGTTACAAATGTATGCCAAGTTGAGCTCATAGCCGAAATTGTCGCAGAAATCAATAGAATCCATTCAAGGTTTCCTAATTTGTGCCCTTGATTTATTTCCTTGTACAGACTTCTGTACTTATATTGATGAAAAGGACAATGCAACTTCCTTAGAAGAAGCATAAATAGAACACAATTTCCATGTATAGACTTTTGTACTTTTAGGATGTTGTTTTAGTAGTTGCCAAGCCAATTTTAATGGATCAAAACACAATTTTAATGGTTTCGATGAGTACTTTATGAGATTGTTTGATGATTGAGGATCTTTTTGTTTGAAGTTTTGAACATATGATATTAGGTGGTGTTGAGTACTGGATTGCTTAAGCGAGACCTACATCCCTTAAGCGATATTGTTTTTTATATGGATTATTTGACACAAATTAGCCTTGGTTACTTAAGCGATGTGAGCTATCGCTCAAGCGATCAAAGGTTATCTATACTGGATCGCTTAAGTGAGAGCTATATCGCTTAAGCGAACTTGTTTTTTATATGGACTATTTGATACAAATTAGCCTCGGCCACTTAAGCGGTGTGGGATATAGCTTAAGTGATCAAGGCTTATCTATACTAGATCGCTTAAGCGAGAGTTGATATCGCTTAAGTGATTATGTATTTGAGGATTATTTAGACACAAATTAGTCTTGGTCGCTTAAACAATGTGGGCTATTGCTTAAACGATCAAGGCTTATATATGTTGGATCGCTTAAGCAAGAGCTGCATTGCTTAAGCGATCGTGTACCTGAGGATTATTTAGACACAAATTAGCATTGGTTGCTTAAGCGATGTGGGATATCACTTAAGCAATCAAGGCTTATCTATGCTGGATTACTTAAGCGAGAGCCAACATCGTTTAAGCAATCATGCACTTGAGGATTATTTAGACACAAATTAGCTTTGATCGCTTAAGCGATGTGGGCTATCGCTTAAGTGATCAAGGCTTATCTATGTTGGACCGTTTAAGCAAGAGCTAACATCGCTTAAGCAATCATGTACTTAAGAATTATTTAGACACAAATCAACCTTAGTCGCTTAAACAATGTGGGCTATCGCTTAAGCGATCAAGGCTTATCTATGTTGGATCGCTTAAGCGAGAGCTGACATCGCTTAAGTATGCAATTGTGTACTTGAAGATTATTTAGACACAAATTAGCATTGGTCGCTTAAGCGATGTGGGCTATCACTTGAGCAATCAAGGCTTATATATACTAGATCGCTTAAGCGAGAGCTGTATTGCTTAAGCGATCTTGTTTTTTATATGGATTATTTGACAACCCATATTAAGTAATGTTAATGTTAACTTGGGACATTCACAACATCACAAGATTTGGGAGAAAAAAAGCAAATTAGCCTTGATTGCTTAAGCGACATCAGTTATTAACACGTATTAATGCAATTTATGGAGGATTATTTGATACCCTAATTCCATCAACACATATTAAGGCCATTTAAGAAGATTATTACCATTAATTTAAACCTCGAACGTTCACAACATCAAAATATAACAGCTATGATAAGTGACAACCCTATGATTCATGAGAAATGTCATAGCACACTAGTGTGACACGTTAATATAAACGTACTTCATTTCACAAATATGGATGGTTATGATTGAATAGACAGTTGACCCACATTACAAAATATAATTTCTCACTCAAACATTCACAATATCAAAAGATTAAGGAGAAATGAAGCAAAATTGGCCTTGGTCGCTTAAGCAACTTAGGCTATCGCTTAAGCAATCACGGCTTATCTATGCTGGATTGCTTAAGTGAGAGTTGATCGCTTAAGCGATTGTTTATTTGAGAATGATTATTTTAAGTACAAAAGCAAATTACCCTTAATCGCTTAAACGATGTCAGATCTCACTTAACCGATCCTATACAGATAAGTCGTGATCGCTTAAGCGATAGCCTACATCGCTTAAGCAACCAAGGCCAATTTTTTTGTACTTGACTATTCCTTCTCAAATTCAAGATCACTTAAGTGATGCAGCTCTCACTTAAGTAATCCAACATATAAAAGCCTTGATCACTTAAGCGATAACCCACATCGCTTAAGCGACCAAGGTTAATTTGTGTCTAAATAATCCTCAAGTACACGATCGTTTAAGCGATGCAGCTCTCGCTTAAGTGATCCAACATATATAAGAATTGATTGCTTAAGTGATAGCCCACATCGCTTAAGCAATGTTAGATCTCGCTTAAGCGATCCAGTATAGATAAGCTTTGATTGCTTAAGCGATAGCACACATCGCTTAAGTGACAGAGGCTAATTTGATAATCTCATAAAGTACTCATCAAAACCATTAAAATTGTTTTTTGATTCACTAATAAGTGTTCAATAAATTAAGAGAAAAACTGATAAAATAGCAGTCTAAAAATTTGTCAACCAAGATCCTCACTCACCAAACAATCAATTAAGAGAAAAACTGAGGAAATTAAGAGAAAAACTGAGGAAATTATATTGATTAACAGGAAGCAAATACAATAAAGAAATCTGGAAAATGATAGTTCCAGCAGTTCTAGCAGATCCCAAAATAACAACCTACCAAAACATGTTTTTTGTCTCAACTAAATACACTTTCAATCTCTACTCTAAAGATTCCATGGTTCCTACCAACCCTTTCTAACTAAATACACTTTTGCTGCTCAAAAAACACAGTCAAATCTATGCCATGCTTTTGTATCTCCAGTAGCTTCAGATGCCTTCCTTTTTTCCTCCCTTCGTTACTTAAAAGTTTTTGAACCATCGATAGAGAAATCGCCAGGTCTAAGAGAAATCTAACTATTTCAATGTTGTCTTCACAAACTGCAACATGGAGAGCAGTGGAGCCATTGTTCCTAGGTTCCGTGACAACCCGTCCATGGCGAACAATTTCTTTAAGTATTCTAAGTTGTTCTACTCAGCGGCAGTACACGCAAAGTGACCTATATCTCCAGAATTAAGGTATGCACCATTATCCATAAGAAGTTTGATCACATGTTCATGACCACGCAACATTGCATCCCATAATGGTACATTCCCATCCGAGTCTGCCATACGTGAAAATTAAATTTAAATCACTTTTGAAATATTTGCAGGACTAATTACACTTAGCAGATGCATGAAGACGAGTTTAAATGCTCAATCCCAAAATATTCTAGGTTGAATATTATATTAAGTAATCATTTACTTGAACCGTAAACGAAAGAGGAAATTTATCTAAAGTGAAGTGGGAATTGAAGAATATGGCAACATCTCAAACAACATAGGACACCTAATAATATGGGGCCATTAAAAAGAATTACAAAGTGGCAGGATCAGGTGCATGTTTAAGTAGTATACAGTTGACTAGGGAAGCCTCATATAAAAGGTTGAAATAGCATATCAGATAGAGTGACCTCATGACAAGGACAAGAACACACTGCAAAGTGTTTTTAAGTCAACAAACATGAAACAAACTGAAGATCCTAGCTTAATAAATTTATTGTTATTATTTTGAACTAGATATATAAGTTGAAAGTGTAATTCTAGCTTGACAGATTCATAGTGACTAACCGAAGATCCTTAGATAGATTTGTAATTTCATTGATGTTAGATTTTGGATGATGCCAAATAAAAAAGTTGTTTTCCCAATCCGTATCATTTAAATTATCTTTGCTGTTCAACCTTTTAGCCATCTCTGACTCATAGAAGCTTTCCCTCAAGTTATCTTCATAGTGTGAGTTCACCAGCTGCTTCACCTTTTCCATCAACTTCTTGTCTATTTCATGGTTCTCAACGTGCAGAAAGCATTTTGGTATTAGAATGAAGTGTTGATCAAATATTCAAATAAAGAAAACCCCATCTTTTTCACCTGAAAGAAGCCCCATTTCTCACAAGCTTGATGCAGAAGCGCCATTGTTTTGTCCCTTTTCTCACCTTTGAGATCACTAAAATCTATCACATGATCTCCATTTTTAGATTTGATCAAAAGCAACCTAAGAACCTAAACTACTAAATTGAAATCATAACTCAAACCCAATCTCTTAAATCTTTGTAAATAGAAATATAAAATACAAAAAGGAGATACACATACCTGGACGAAATATCAGGAGGAGGAGGAAGCAGATCTTCGACGGAGAAGATGTTAATGGCGGATAAAGAAGAAAATATTAATATTGGAGGAAGAAGAAGATGTAGAGGAGGAGGAGGAGGGGCTTCAGTTTTGTTAAGAACAAACAGCAATAGGGGGGCTATTCTAACCGTAATTGAGAGAGGGAGGGGAGCAATTTCTTTAAGAGTAATACTACAGCCACCGACGATAGTGCACCGAATTTGTGTACCGAATGACGTGACAAAATTCTGACTGTTAATTAATATTAAGTTAAAATTAATCAGCGGTCAGAATTTTATCACGTCATTCGGTGCACTACTGTCGATGACTATATTATTTTTCTTTCTTTAATTTGTGTTTGTGTTAAAATACAACAATTTTAGGTTTTAGGGGTAGTTTTTGAAAGATTACTGACTGTCTTCATTAATACTAATTAAAACTATAATTAGTGTTTAACTGTTATTAATTTGTCTTAATAAAAAATAAAATCATTCAGTAAAGACTGAAAAACCACATCCCTTTTAATTAATTTGACCTTTCTTAATCATTTGCCCGGCATTATCTCCTGACCTGGATGGCTTCAATGATTTCGCCTCGTATCCTACAACTATGGCGCGAGATATCAATCTGCTAGTAGAATCAGTGACTCATTCTTTAACTCTAATAATTCTCTCTCTCTCTCTCTCTCTCTCTCTCCTCTCTCTCTCTCTCTATATATATATATATATATATATATATTGTCTTTTTTAATCGATTCTACTAACGGGTAACATTTTCATTCCTTTTAGTTTTATTTTCTTTCTAAGTTTGTTGTGGATTTTGTATTTTACTATCTGATGGGAGAATATTTATTTCCCTTGATTGCTACTCTCTACTTTGCAGAAGCACACTAAAACTGGCGTGATTGCATGGGCAATTCATCCATTGGACAACTGTTCTTAAATACAGGAATAATTTTTATCACGCAGCTACCGATGAACCAACCCCTCTTCTAGGATTAAGGTATTCAAAGATTTTTTTTTTTTTTTTTGTTTTTTTTTTTTTTTTTTTTTTTGGTTTTTCTAACGAAGTATCTGTGGCGATTAGGTGGATAAAGCAGGGGCCACAGTTCTATTTCAAGAGGCAACAAGGGAAGTAACAATGTTGGAGTTGTGGTGAACCCAGTCCGTCTCTCCAGTCTTGGAGAATTTGGGACTCCTCAGTTTGTTGCTGAGAAGCTTATTCAAGTCAAAAAGCGCAAGGTAACTTTTTCTTTTATGTTAATTCTTTTTGGTGGGTGTTTCTACATACATAATTGATCATTTGTATGTGTTTATTCAAAAAAAAAAAAAATGTAGTCGTTTGTTTTCTTGAAGATAAAATGCATTAATGTAAATTTTGTTTTTAGTGTCCTTATTACGTGCCTACCATTTAGACTTTAGAGATCCTATATATAATTTATATGCTGATGCCAGTTGAAGAACTTGAATTTTTAACTGCTTGTGTGAAGCATTTGTTGATTTGGCTGACTGCTAATAGAACTGATAGAAACAATATGGGGTTATGATTCTCTCTGAGGTTTACATGGGAGTTTCCATTGGAACCTATTTTCTTGACAATTTTGGTGACCAAGTCGAGGTTTGATGTTTACTTTATGTTGTCTTTTCATTAATGTAAAACCTGAGTTAAAATCTAGGAGACGCTAAACGATATAGTTTATTGGATACAATAAGGAAAAATGTTGAAATGAAAGTTCGGTTAAGGTTTTGCTAAGAAATACAGATGAGGGTTCACTATTGTTACCATTGTTAGAATGCTCACAAGGAGAAATATGATATAAGATGAAATTGCCTGCTGAATTTGGTTGAAAAGTTTGGCTTGATGCTTCTATTTTTTATTAAAAAAATTTACTTAGATGCTTCACCTGTTACTGTGGACTAGCACTAAATCTTCCATGCCTTTTCATAGAATACCTGTAATGTCTAGAAGAATAACCATGTGAGTTTAGATGAAATGAGGCTGCTGAAATAGATGAGTATAAAGATAAGGAAATGTAGAATTTAGCATCAGACTATTATTGGCTATATAAAAATAAACATGTGAAAGTGGCCTAATTGTATCACATCAGAAGCCAATTGTTGAAAAGTTAGATTGATGATTACTTTTGGGGGTTTCATGTACATAAGGGCAATACTGGACATAATTAAATAGCAACGATTGCAGTTTTCTTATTTTATAATTTGCTGATAATTGGTAGAAGGCTTTAATTTGCCGACCCCTTGAGCTTGGACCAAAACTTTGTTGAATTCAAAGAGATTTTGTTGGATCATGAAATAAATAATATAGAGTTTTGTGAGCTGGGTTTAATGTAGGGGAGGCTAAGTTAAGAATGTGTCAAATGATATGGTCTTTGTGGCGGTGGGGGCATTGTTTGCTTTCTGGGCTTTTGTTAAGGTCTGTGTGATATTGTATTTTAGTTTCTTTTGTTTTAGTTTATATATGAATTTCTGTGAAGCAAGATAAAGTCTGGTTCTCAAGTGTTTGAGCTTGATTGTTTGAAAGAGGTGGGTTCTGAGTCTCAGCAGCAGCGACAGTAGGAAGATTGACATGAGTAGTCAAAAGAAGATTCCGGTGGATCAATAACCAGTACCTGAGATCCCATTTCCGGTGGTGGAGATTTTGGCCATGGCGTGACCCTTGCTGGAGAAAATGGCAGCTATCATTCTCTCAGTTTTGGAGACTCCTTTTCAGAAACACCATGACTGTTAACACTCCCATCTTGGAAGCTAATGCAAGAGTTGTGGGGTTAAACAGGTTTAGCAGTTTTAGTGTTAAGAGAGCTGGATTTAGAGTGGAAGTGTGAAGCATTTGAGTTCATGTATCCGGTTAATTGAGTAAGAAAAGGAAAATGACAGATAGAAAGAGGACTAAATGACAAGATGGTCTTGAAATAAGGTAAAGGTTTTGTCTCTGTGTTTTTTGAGCTGGAATTTGGGGGCTCAAGAGGAAATTAGAAAACGATTTTGCTAGTATGACTTTATTCTTTTAGCAATATTCATCTTACTGAATTTATTGGATATAATTAAAACCTTTGATTTCACGTTTTGTTTGGGAAATATGGATTGAATTTATAAACTATATACTACTTCCAAAAACATTACCATACTTTTGGTATAACAATTAGTTTAAGAAATGTTAATGTAATGACCATCATCATTTTTTCTTTTAAAAAAAATTATAACTAATGAAGATGTAAGTGTTAGTAGCAGGAAGCATCAAGCAATGATGATGTTACCTTTACATGGACAAATATGGTAACATCGATAAAACATGGCATCAAATAGGCATCAATGAGAAAGAACCATTTGCTTTCTGTTAATTAAAGTGTAAAACTGTTTTTCAAGTTTATGAAATGGGAATTTATTGTAAATTTGATGAGGATGATGGAATGGTTATTATGGTGTGTGATTTTTTTAAACTTTTCCTTTTATAAAAAATTTAACATTTTAGTCTCTCTTATGGAAAATAAAAGAGTCACCTTCCAAAGTTTTTTTCCTCATAATATCAATCAAAACTTTACATAGTATTAATATAGCATTATTGTTTAATATGTTCATTCTCTAATGTGAATGATATAAATCTCAAGACAATTCCTACATAATAATATACATATATAAATTATATATTAGTTGTAAAATCTAAAAACATTTGGAATATAACAAAGTAAAATATATTTATTTTTCCTACAATTTTAATCAATTTTTAATGCATATATAGTATTCTCTTAATAATAAAAATACTTAGTTAATAATTAAACATATAAAGGCCTAAATTAAAAGTCCAATGAACCACCGCGATCACCTTGAATTTCATACAATATCTTAAGGATTGCTATGTAATATGTTCTAAATTAAATGCTTTCTTGTATAACAAAGGAATTTGATTTAATTTGTAAGGATAGTAGATTATAACATTAGATGTGTATGTTGGCCCCGTTTTTGCTTGCTAGGGTCAATATGAGTCTTTGCAACTTTTTATTTAAAGGCGAATGAGCAAAGCATCATTTCGAGATTTTCTTTGAAAGTTATATACATTTTTAATATGTGAACTAAAAAGGTTTTAACTGTCTTTTCTTTTCAACTCAAATTCAATTTTTTAAGTTCAGAACTTCACTATGAACATTCCTACTTTCCCTCTCTATACTACCTTCTTTTTAAATATAAGAGGTAAACCTTATATTTGTTTCTATTAGACCTTCATACTTTAAAGCCCAATTGAATTTTTTCTCTTTGTTTAGGGATAAACCAACTTCATTGTAACGATGATTTGTTAAAAAACAAATGGAATAGAGTTTATGTAAACTAAGTGTATATAATATTATTAATATTTGTAGGTAATTTCATTTATAAATAAAATTTAGATAATTTTAATGTGTAGGATTTTAATTGGTGTTTGTTATTTGTAAGTATTAATGATAGATATTAATAAGAATTACATAGTAGCATTGCTTTGCCATTCCAAAAGTCTAAATAAGAAAATATAAAGATTTGTGTCCGTTCCTTCACATTCACCAAAATAAATAACAATTATATAAAGATTGATGTTAATCTCTTCACATTCATCGAAATATAAACCTATAGTATTACTTATGAAAAAAATATACTAAACAATTCATATGGCTAAATATAATTGGTTTCCATAAACTCGTTTATAAACTGTTTCAAAAACACCCAATAAACATACCCACACAACGCGCAAGCTTTCCATCAAGTATATATATATATATACTATAATGCCCACACGGAGGTATGTAATTTAATTTATGTTTTTATAGCCCTTAGTTGATTTTGGTTAAAGTTATTTTGAGAGAATGTGAAGAAAATGTTTTAAACTTGTATTAAGGGTAAAATTGTCTTTTTACTGAAAATTAGTTGAAATTGTGGGAAGTGAAAAGAGATAGAATTTCATGGATAATGCAATAAAAATGAGGGCATTATGGTAATTAACTAAAGGACAAAGAATGAATTTCTAAGAAACTGTAAGGACAAAATGAGAAATTATGTTTGTAAAATAAGATATTAAGGGTTTAGTCTTACAAACCCCCTTATTTCTCTTCTTCCACTGCCACTTTCCTTCTCCATTTTCTCTCAACTTTTCACTCAATTTTTCAAGGATTTTTTAGGGCTTTTGAGTGGATTTTGACAAGGTTTTGGTTCTAGGCAACAAGAGGTAAGAATTCTTGCTCTATATATAAGATTTACTTGTGTAGAAGTTGAATTCTTATTAAGTTTATGCTTAGGGTTAAGGGGAAATTTGAGTCCAACAAGAGTAGAGAGCTTTAGTGGAGACTACTCAAGTATAAGGTAAGTAAATCCAACTCAAAATCCAACTCAAGTTAAAGTTTAAGAAATCAATTGAGTAAAGATTTCTTTAAGCATGTATATGTTATGATTATTGGGAAATTGAGAGGAGATTGGTGATTATTTATGCTTGTTGTTGGATATATTTGAGTATGAGAAGTGTTTTTTATTGTATGATGATAGATTGAAGTTTGGTTGAAATTGGAAGAGTTTAAGAAAGTTTTGGGAGTGTTTTGCCGTGATAGGGATTGTGATGATACAAGAGAGTTTTACTCTCATTTTGGATGGTTTAAGAAACAAATAGAATTATAGTTAAAATAGAGTTTGTATATGCACATTTATTGTTTGATAAAATGCCTAAGAGAAGCATGAGTATGAGTAGAAACCTTAATTTTATGCAACATTACATATTTGCATTTCATGAGTGCATTTAAGTAAAAATTCTAAGCATGAGTCATCCATATGCATATATTTGTATATATGTAGTACTTAAGAAAGAATAAAGAATTTTAAAAATAAAACACTCTAAAAATAAAGAGAAAGAAGGAAAAAGCACTTAAGAATTAAAAAAATAAAAAGTGTTAAAGAAGAGAAAAGAATAGGTTGTTGTGATGGGGAACCATGAGTGCTAAGAAGAAATTCTCACATACACGCCACCTTAATTGAGTGGCATAAGAAGAAGAAGAATTGTACGACCCGTAAGAGTGTATGTGGATGAGGGTTGTACCAAGAAGAATTCTTACATGCACACCACCTTAATTGAGTGGCATAAGAAGAAGAAGAATTGTACGACCCGTAAGAGTGTATGTGGATGAGGGTTGTACCAAGAAGAATTCTTACATGCACGCCACCTTAATTGAGTAGCCTAAGAAGAAATAAAGAATTTGTACGGTCCGCAAGAGTGCATGTAGATGAGGACTGTATTCACTTACACGGTCAAAGTTCCAAATCCATGCATCAACTGAGTCCGATCGGCAAAGAATAAGAAAAGAAAGAATAAGAAAGAATAAGAATAAGAAAAGAAAGAATAAGAATAAGAATAAGAAAGAATAAGAATAAGAATAAGAATAAGAATAAGAAAGAATAAGAATAAGAAAAGAAGGAATAAGAAAGAACAAGAACAAGAAAGAAAAGAGAAGCTTGAGCAAGCAAGACAAGAAAGAAAAGAAAAGAATATAAAGAAAAGAAAAGAAATAGAAAGAAGAAAGAAAAATGCAATTTTATGCATTATTGCATATGCATATCATTCATGTATATTACCATGAATTCCATCATGGTTAGAAAAAATAGAAAAAATAGAAAGAAAGAACAGAGAGAAGGAAAGAACAGCGAGAATTAGGAAGAAAGAAAGAACAATAAGAATTAGAAATAGAGAAAGAACTAGGAACGAAAGGAAGAAGAAGAGAATTAAGTAAGGAAAGAATCAAAGAAGGAGAAGAGATAAGGGATTTACTTACTGAGTATTTTTGTGCTCACGCCATTGTTTTTTCCATGTTTTGCAGGAAATAGGTGAGCAGCGGTCGGAAGGAAGTCGACTAGTGAAGAGAATTGGCATTACTGTCCACCGTTGCTAAAGTTTTTGTACTTGTTATTTTAGTATATGTAAAGAATTATATTTTATAAGTAAAGAATTATATTTTATAAGTAAAGAAAATTTGGACTCAACTATTTTTCATATGTTAAGTATGTATGTTTTTATTGTATATATTCTAAAGTATATTAGTAGAAAGAAGTCATTAAATATACACACCCGCCTTTGTTAACATTGTGAGTGGAAGTGGATATGTATATGTATATTTGTATCAACTGAGTTATTAATTTTATCTTTTATTATTTTATTGGTGACATTATATATATATATATATATATAGCAAAACCTCTCTATAGTGATCCTCTATATATGAATAAACTCTACATAGTCATAAAAAAATTTAATCCTAATTTGAGATAGTTATAAATAAGAATAAACTCCACATTGTAATAAATTATCATTTTTCTTATTCCCTTCTTAAGGAAAGTTGTCTCCATATAGTAATAATTATCCGTATATTACTAAAAAAATATATTTTATATTACATTAAAGGTTTAAGATGAAATAAAATATTTATTTAAAGTTATTTGAAACAATATAACTTGCTAACATGTACACCTTCTTGTTAAAGGAAAAATATTTTTAGCTTCTCAAGCATGTTTAAAACTTCATGATATGAAACTTTTTGTATTTATGTGCTATCATCCTCAGGATTATTTCCTTTATCTTTTTGTCTAATTGCAACAATGATTTCTTCTTCGATTAAAACATACACGATTTGTTGCTCATTTGGATGATCGAGGAAGATATTAATATTCATTCAATTAGTATAGTGAAGTTGTTGAATCTGATCAGTCAATTTTGCAATGACTCTTTTATTTTTCTCATCCACTTTATTTGTAGCTTGCAATTCATTGAAATCGGGGGTCCTAATTTTGCAATGCTTAAAACCGTTGACAATTATCTGTGGCTTCACATCAATTGATCATGCATCAACTACATTTATAGTTTCATCAATGACACTTATCTTTGTTGGTTTCAAGACACGATCTTCTATCTCTTTGTTTCAAAAATATGCAATTGAAGTGCTAAATTGAAATCTTAATATTATATTACTAAAACATGAATTATAAAAAAAAATCAAAATAATAATTTGTAACTAGACCTCCATTAAGTTAAACTAGTAATAAAATTAGTGGTCCCACCATTAAGACTATAGAGAGTTCTCTCTCTCTCTCTCTCTCTCTCTCTCTCTTCTCTCTCTCTCTCTTCTCTCTCTATATATATATATATATATATATATATATATTATATATATATATATATATATATATATTGGAATGAATTCGAGAATTAAATTGTAATTAATTAAACAGACCTTTCCACAAAAATGAGATACAAAATGTTGTAGGTGAGACATGAAGTAATAGAAAACTGTCTTCACTTTCCATCCATACATAGATCCTCAATGACAATTTTGCGCACTTGTGCTCATTTAGAGCTTTTGTCGAATACTTGTGGACAGACCTAAAGAATACCCTCAAAACCCTTTCTGATTGAACTTAATAAACCAAAGTGATACAAATGACAATAAAAAACTATCAACAAGGAAACAACAACCACAGTATAATTCATTAAGACAATTTTACCTATCATTCAATAAAAAAATACTCCCATGACTTTAATCAAAGCTATGAGAGCAGAGAAGAGGACACAAAAAATGGTAATTTTGCAGATTAAACTGAAAATCCATCTAACCAGTTCCTGTAGTTCTTGAATTAGCTAGATATTGCAAATTTATGAGTGGATTTTGATAGATTACCATCTAACTTTCATTCTCCTTAAACATGGATGGACCATTTCAAGTTTGAAATAAATTAAATAGTCATGAATTTCATCATTTAAGCGATTTAATACATATCGCTTAATAAATAAGTTATTAAACAAGCCTATATCGTTTAAGAGATAAGTTTATAAATAAGCCTATATTGCTTAAGCAAATAGTAATTTAGTGAAGAATTTCAAACTTCATGACTATTACTTGAAATGGTATTTTAATTGATTTTTCACATAGATTTATATCCAAATAAACAGAAACATTTAAATAGTAATAGAAACCAAAAAGTTAAAGTTATGCTCTTAATTATTTATAGCTATTCAGTTTAGTAGAATATTATAGAGATTGAGATGATCTAATTGATATTCTTATTTGAGTACATATTGATATACCTTACACCTAAAGTACGTTAGGTACTTAGGTATAAAGTAGTTTTAAATAGCCTTGCCTCGGATTAAATGTTACACTATATATTATCTTCATAATATAATATGATCATAAAGATAACACTTCCCATGATTAAATACCCAAAATCGTTCTTTTAACTACTAAAGTGTTCATATAATCTTTTAATTAAAACCTTTACTATATAGCCATTCCTATGAATATTCAATTTACTTAGTGCCTTCATTGAACTGACAAGTATCCAACAACAATCACAATTATATTTATAACCCCCTCAAGTAAAATTCTAATATATGTATGTGTGTGTATTCTACCAATTTAGAACAATCATTTGTCCATCACAACTATTCAAACATTGGAGTTTGGGGTGTTACATTTCTTCTTGGTGAATAGTCTGTTCACCATCAGTATTAAAGCTAAAAGTTGAGACAGACCTAAGTAAGGTTTCCATTTTGTTAAAATTGTTTCTTTTCCTTACAATAGTTAGCAATAGAGGACTTACTATGCTCTAACTTAGCTAACTGCCTCAAACACAACCCCAAAATGACTCACTACTTTAAAACAATTAAATAACAAATAAAAACATAAGTCTCTGATAGAACACTTACTACTTGCATATCCAATATCTTCATTATAGCCAGGGAAGTGTGTTTTAATACAAGGGTTTTCAAAGAAACTAAGAAAAATTCTTAGATTCTAAAAAGTTCTGTCTCCACAAAGAGATTACAATGCTTAAACAGAAAATTTTGGGAGTTTCTATATACTTTTAGTGAAGGAGTGATTATAAACATCATAACAAGATAGTGATAATCACTACTGTTGTGTTGAGAGTGTCTTTTTAAGAGTGTAGTGACTGTAAATCTCTATAAGGTTTGAACGAGTGAGCAAAAAGATTGATCTTTGTTCAGTGAGATAAATTAGAAAAAAAAAATAGTGATCTCATTTTATTGTACTTCATTGATCTATAGTGAAAGAACTGTGTCGTAGTAACACTATGGACGTAACCCAAATTCGGGTGAACCATGTAAATTGTTGTCCCTGGCTATTTTCTATTACTTTCTTATTACTTATGTGTGGTATATATGTATAGGCCAAAAATTGTATTGGGTCTGACAAAGTCCAATAACGAAATAAACACATTACAGCCTAGTGCCTTAGTCCAATTCCGGTTGGACCTACGCTTAAATTTATTTTGTAAACTGCCCACTCTATGAGTTGGGATACCTTACAAGTTAAGCTAAATCGGGTTCCAACCCATTTGCCCATATCAGTCCATAAAAGGAATCAGAATCCTATTCATTTTCCACTTTTGTCAAGATCATGAATCTTACTTAAAGTGATGAGCCTAATCCGATAAAGGCAAGAGATAATGCTTCCTTCTTAATTGAGACTCATCTACCAAGCAGGACTCAGAGTTCTACTAGGACTCAAACCTCTTTGGTTCACTATATAAACAAAGGCAAGCTCTCTCATTATTTATTCAAAAATAACCCACAGCTCTTAAGCTCTCAAAGTTCTTACTTCCAAGAACCGTCGTTTCCTCTATCATAAAGCTTGGTTCCAACTTACTTTACCTCTCCTAACCACCGCAAAGCCGTTCTCCGGCTACTTTGCCTTAGTCTAGCCCTAGGCGCATTATTATGATAAACCCTTCCCGCTCTCAACCCTCACTAAAATACTTTCAATCTTACTGACTTGGGTATCAGAGTGCCTCCAGCAGACACCACACCGGTGTCACCTAAGCCTTCATGTTATCTTTTCCTCTCTGTGCAGGTCCATCAGGTTGTGAGTGGCTCACTTCATACAAGATTTGTCCCTTTTCGAATCAACCGTAGATTTTACATCTATAATGTGTATATCAAGTCACAAAGGGTTTGTTCTTAAGCTTAATTTTCTGCTGTAATCGATGCCTTAAAATCACAATTTTACAACAAACTTAATGTTGAAGACTGAAAACATATTTAACAAACTAGATCCTTAAAAGAATGAAGTGCAGTTGAGCATTATACAACAAATGGACTGAAACATAATTTCAATATCTAATATTTAACATAATTTCAAACTAGTTCCTTAAAGGAACCATGAAACATAATTTCATGTCGTATGAGACTCTGAATTCATTAATCATTGTATAAGCGTGTTCATGAAAAATTTCAATATTTGTTCATCTTTACATAGCAAATTGAATTTAATATTGTATATTATTCATAATAACTAACATATAGAACCTGACATTATAAACCTTTTAAAACAAGGTAGTTAACGAATGGATTGAAGTGTCATTTATGTATACACATGTTAAATAAAGACATGAAACTAACATAAACACTTCTAGGACGTGTAAATGACATGGGAAGTGACGAGATAAATCAATCTTGGTTTATCTTCAAGTAAACATTTAAATTACAACTAATATTATCCATTATATTGTCTAGTCAATGATGATGATTAAAAACATTGCTTGGGAAAGTTAAGTGAAGGCTAGTTAAATATCTTAATTTGTTTTGGCCTAATGATGCTTGTGTGAAGCCCAAAAGCAAAATTGTGCGGCCCTATGTAGACTTAAAATGGACAATATCTTATCAATGAGTCGAGATGTTGCAATTGGTATTATAGTAAGACCCAACCATAAGTGTGTGGATGGTTTAGTAGCCTAGGATGGTGCAGGAAGTTGCATCTAAAAGAAGGGTGAACTATGACATCCTACATCACTTGAGAATGTTAAGTGGAGGCTAGTTAAATATCATGTGAGCTCCTGAGCTATCAAGATGCGTTTTGGGGGAAAGACACTTGCATGAAGTGCAAAAACAAACCTGTGTGGGCCTGGACCGAAAATGAACAATATTTTAACAATGGATCAAGGTGTTTCAATTGAGTCCCTTATTATCTTGAGATTAAATAATATTTTGTATTTGTCTCTTGGATAAATTAAGGACATTTTTTCTTAGCAAACGTTAGGGAGTTGAGAATTACAAGAGCATTCAGTGCAAAATGATATGTTTTCTCCTTGATTTGTATGTGTGTGACTTGTATTAACTCCACCTTTTTCTCTTTTGTGTAGCTTGAGTTATATGTATTTCTTTATATGATATGTGGTCTTGCCAATGAGATGATTATGTATAAATCGCACACAAATTCACTTGCACGATTTACAAACCTAACATGAAGTTAATCATAGAAAGCAAACACAGTTCAGAATACAACTATTGTTTTTATGCAATACTTAAATTATTGAAAAATACAATCAAGACAAAAAATAGTTTAGTAATGTGTGTACTTAGTATAGAAGATTAAACAACCATGGTTTTTGAAGGATCAGAAACGATGAATAAAAAAAATAGTTTAGTGAGGAATTAAGATTGTTTTGATTTGAGTATTTAGGTTATTAGAAAAATAATCAGTAAATAATATTATGAATTTAAAGATATATTTTAGTAAAAAAAAAATTATTGTATGGAATTTTGTAGGACTAAAAATATCAAATTAAACTTGTTTTTAATTTTATCAAAGGTAATTGACATGAAATTTACTATAAATCGCTGATTATGGCACTCATAAAATATAAATATAATTTAATATAAAAATACCAATTGCAAGTGTAAAAATATAGTACATTTTGTAACGGGGCAAGGTATCAATTGGTTATGGAAGTAAGCAAGGAACCCTTTTATTGTGTCACTTTATGTACATTCATTCTCTACTTCAAGTATTCTTCCTTCCCTTAATCTCTACTATATAAGCATGTCAATTTCCTGACATACACAGACTGAAAGATGGCTCATAACTCCAATGCGACTCTCCCACTCTTATTCATCCTTATTATCATGGCATCAGGTAACATTCTCTCTTTTTGCTATTTACTTACCAAGATGAAAACTCTTTGTTAGAAACACATTCTTATATTGTGTCAATCTAAATGCATTTTTCTATTTATTACTAACATCTTTGCCTGTTGGGTAGGAACAAAAATGTTTGCAAGAGCCAGAAATATTACCATAGTGAATGTGTGTAAAGAGACAGTATGGCCTGGAATATTTACACGAGGTGATGATGATAGTGGTGAAGGTTTTGCATTGAAACCAGGCCAATCTGCCTTCTACAATGCCTCTGATAAATGGAGTGGCCGCATATGGGCAAGAACTGGTTGCAGTTTCAGCAACAGCACCAACTCTTGCCAAACAGGCGATTGTGGCCCTTCCATAAATTGCACAGGACCAGGTAGTAAGCCAGTCACAATTGCCGAATTTACCCTCAGTCCCGACATCGATTTTTATGATGTTAGCCTTGTAGATGGGTTCAACGTACCTATATTGGTTCAACCTCTCAGTGGTAAAGGAAATTGTAGCAGGGCTGGTTGTGATGGAGACTTGAGGCAAAGTTGCTCATCTGATCTTGCTGTTAAAGACAACGGGAAGGTGGTCGGCTGTCGTAGCGCATGCGACCACTTTAACACTGACGAGTTTTGCTGTAGAGGCATGTATGGAGATCTTGGCTCATGCTCTCCTTCCAACTATTCCAAGAGCTTCAAACAAGTGTGCCCTGCAGCATCAAGCTATGCATTTGATAACAATTCAAGTGTTATTACATGTTCTGGGACAGACTATATCGTTGCCTTCTGTGCAGCAAGGTGAGTTAACATTTATTCAGAATATTGAAACATTAATAACAAGATAATATATATTTCTTATTGCTGAATGCAGGAATCAAACAGTGTGCTCTTACCAAGACAATAAGCTTTCATGTAATCACCCGAATGGCGCGAAGGCATTCTCTCAGAACTGGTGGCTCCTCCTGATGCTCGCGTTACCAATGACATTAAATTATGTTTGAGCTCCTGTTCAATGTCCATTTTGAAATCTAATGAAATGTTTCCTGCTATTCTTGATACTCTTTCTCACACCTAATCACTTGGATGATATTCTAGTGTTATTGCAGAATGCTAAAAGGAAATAAAACCAGGCACAATATTTTTCATTTCATTACTGAAAATGTCAGTTCCTCCTCATAACTTAATGCACACGCAAGCTAAAAACAGAGAGGAAAAGAAAAATATATTTGAAGAATCATTTCATTTAATAACAAAAATAAATAGAACACTAAAAATGTACAGGCTTACAGGGAAATTTCTGTTACGTTACTTCTTCAAAAGATTCTCAATAGTCTGTCTTCATAACAAATGCTTCAAGATCCTGAATAAGTAAGATATCCTTTTGTATAAATCACCTTCACGTCTTTATGTCATCTTCAACCAATGAATATGCCTGATCTAAATACGTTTCATGGAAGACTCAAACAATATGCACCACCCTGGCACATGACTTGTCAAGTAAGCTATTCTGGACCACTGGCACTTCGCAGCCTCATCCAAGCTTTCTTTTATGACAAGCATATATTAAACTATTGCAGAATGTAGATGACAAAAGCCATCTTGAAAAATTCATCAACTGTGATGTCAGTTTTACATGTCTAGGAACATCTACAAAAGCTGTACCTTTCCACATTCTGAAAGGACATATATATTCATTGAAATGCTACAGACATACAAAAGGCACATCCTACAGGGAAAACAGATTCTGTGAAGCTCCCACCTGAAACAGTATAAGATATAGTTGTTGATGGTAGCATATTATATGTCGTTATCTCACTGAATGACATGCAGGAACTTGCCCCGAATGGCGGTAGCAGAATACAAGAAGCACCTACTGAATTATTAAGGAAAAAAAAATGAAGAAAGAAAGAAAAGATCAGCCTGCTGACAAATTTAAGATGAAACAAGAAGAGAATCAAATTCATTTAAAAAGTTTACCTTGGTCAACTATAAATCACGCAGCCCTATCAGTTAAAGATGGGATGCATTCAAGTCTGTAAAAGTATTTGAAGCTCAAAATATTGTCTTATGTTCAGCAAAGCTCAGCACAAAACCCTGATCCTCCTTAAATTAAGTCTATTTGCATTTTGATTCAAGCAGTGTCATATATATCAGCGTATCATTACAAATGTAATAATTTTTCCACCTTGTCATTCTATCCTGGGCTGATGCACTAATCCACAGCTCAAGCAGTCAAAATACTGCAGCCAAAAAGAAGCAAATTCCCATGCTTATTGTGCTACATTTTCTGTACAAAAGAAGAGAACAAGGAAATTGTGTATTATCATTGTTATTATTATTATTTTAAATGAACATAGTGCTGATTACACTTACATGTAATGCATGGTCCACAATCTACCTATTCTTCCCACTTCTCTAACTTCTTTTTGATATCTTGTTCAGTTGTTTCCCTTGTTTGAATTGCTGTTCTGGACTCGTCACTTTCAAATGGTAATACAACTACAGGGGCTGCAGGAACTGTGTCCCAACGCTCCTTCAAAAAACTTATGAACTTCTTAACCATTTCCCTTCGGAACTCAAACTCCCGAGTGAAGAGATCCATGAGAAGGAATGCAAGAATGTACTTGAAAGGAACAATCAGGAGAATGGTGGCAGAAGTTAACAATAATAGTGCCACCTCAGTTGTTATCTGTTACAAAGTTTAGATTAAGATTAGTTTCCATTTTTCATCATGGTCAGAACAGTAAAAAAGAAACATGAAACCTTAAAGTTCTCAAAGTACAAATGCGAAATTAACCTCAAAAACAAACAACTGCTGACAAATTAAAAACCATAGTAAAGAGAAAGATCCTGATCATCATGAAGTTATCTCATTTAGTTACAGCAGCTTAGGGAACTGAAAGCACATTCACAAACTCATCAAACCTAAGGTGGGTTCTTTTGAAGCTCCACCTCATAAGATGTAAACAAAACTGACAACCTAATTATACATTGTTAAGCAACCAAAACTTCAAAATAAGAGCAAGAAAAAGAGAGGGTAGTAACAGTCTGGGAAGCTGTAAACTATAAGTTGTGAAGTAATGAAGGAGATCCTCAAAGAGACATTGGCACATACTTAGAGGTAGTTACAAATTTAATATTTATTTAGGTCAATATTTTGATTTCATTTTTTTGGCCTATGTATTTTCAGGAAACTAGACATTTTCCACATAGGTTACGCTATTTAGGAACTTGCAATTGTTTCTAATCATTTCTGATTAGTGCATGTCTTGTTTATGATTTGGTCTTGGCCTATAAGTAGGCATCACACTTAGAGCATGAAAGACAATGGGATTTTGAAAATAATAATGGTTTTCTCAAACTGTAATTTATTTTCACTTTTTCTTTCTCCCTTCTCTCTCCCTTTTCTCCTCCCTGTACTACACACAGACAAAATTTAAAAGTTCTGAGTGGCATAGAAACACTTGTTAACTCGTCAGACTATGTTACCATAGGTGGTTTTCCTAGTGCAAATTCTGCATATGCTAAAACAATGTAAAATTTATTACGAGACAGTTATTAACTGGTCAGACTATGGACTGTAAATCTTATAACGTTGAACATAAAACTTATCACAACAAAAGTTTAAAATAGAACATTAGACTTGTAAACTATTAAGAGTTCACATTCTAAAGTTCAAGTTCCATCTTAGGCTTCATGGCCATTAACATTGCAGTTATATCCCCAGTTAACAATTTTGGTAATTGAATGAAAGTTATAAACTCCCATGAATCATGGAAACATACCTGAGGCTGCCCTGAAAGAAATATTGTGCGTATTTTCAGAAGTGTGACATTCAGATTCTGGAGATAATTTTCCACATCCTGCATGGCATCTTTTACTGCTATAATCTTTTGAATAGTATTTGAAGGAGGCTGATCACGGATAGTAACTTTTCCAAAAGTTCTTCCCAGGCGACCTTGCACCTTCAACCCCTTGAGTGTAAGCATACCAGCTGCCAAAACCATCAGCGACATGGGAAATACATATGACAGCAAATTCCTGAAAAGGGAATCAAAATGTAAGCCTACTTTCAAACTACAAAGTGGAAATGATAGATACAGAGAATGCACTGAAAGAAAAATCCAATACACCTATTCCAGTTCCAGGAATATCCTCATTCATAGGGAAGATGAACCCTGTGTCCAATTTAACAATTCTCATCACGCAATGTCACATCAAAAATATAATCGACCAAAATTTGGAATGAAACATACCAAATAAGAATATGATATTCTTTTTCTTTTTTAAACCAAACAGAAATGTTGTATTTTAAGCATGAAAATTTTGACAAAATTAAGAACAAGCTGTCCTCTGTGTAAAAAAATAAAAATTATACTTACAGCAACACTGTCACTTAATTTCCTATTAAAGAAAGTAACAGGACATTCTAAGAGAGCCCTGATAATTGTCAAACACCATAAGGATCACCAAACAGACCTCCACAGAACAAAAACTTAAATGAAATCATAAAATCAGCAAAAACACATAACAAAAACTAATTGAAATCATAAAATCAAGCAAAAACACAGGCAAAAATATGCAGAAGATCTCACAAGGAGATGTGCTCTAAGCTCATTTTCTGATGCAAAGAACTATGAAAGAATTTTAGATACTAGGAACGAAATGATTTCCAGTGATTATTAATAATATATTGTGTCAGAAAATGTAAAAATACTGTTAGTGGAGTAACTTTGCAAAGATGAAGAACCTAGACATACTTCTTTTAAACCATATAAAAACTTCAGATTTCATCAACCAGCGAGGCAACATATCCAACTAAATTGGCAATCATTGCATCAATAATATCAAGAAAGGGTTCAATCACTCAAACCAAATTCCATACCAATAAAATGATGCCTAACAAGAACTAAACTCACAAAATTGACAAAAAAATCTGAGCAAGACATATCAAACTAATAAGGGAAAAGTACTAAAACATGAAGTAAGCAAATAATTTCAAATAAATGATTAACAATTTAATCATCTGTTAAACAATATTATCTTTTTCTTGGTATTAGGTGACAATTTGGAAACAAATTAGGCTTTATCTATGTGTTTGAGTTGTCCAATATAAGTTGTTACAAAGATGATTATTCTTCCTAGCAGAGGTACCTGAAAATTATAGCATAAGCAAATGCAAGAAAGGAGATAGTCAGGTGTGGCTCCTCCCAGCATCTAAGTTTTTCAAATTTCTTGGCAGTCAAAGTCAAAGGAAACATAAGTTCCTACAAAAAAAAATTTACCCACTGATGGGACCTGGATAATGAGGGTGTAGGAAAAGTGAAATAAGATAGCAAGTAGCGGATTGAGGGGATGTTGGCAGGAAACATCCATGGAATTAGGCTAGGACAGGTGGCGATTGGGGGTTAGGACAGCAAAGGAATTCAGTTAGGGAGAGAGAGAGAGAGCGCTGGAGGATAAAAAGTGAGGGAGAGAGCAGATTAGGGCAGAGAAGAATATACGGAAATTTGGGAGGAGCTAACCCTTGAAGTTAGCAATTAGGGAGGAGCTGGCCCTTGAAGTCCAGCATTGTTTTTCCTTTCATATTTTGATTTTGTCCTTTCGGGTTGATGTGCTAGGTATATTTTGTTGTTTGCTACCATTGTTATCGGTTTGTTGAATATCAATACACATATCTATTTTCTTCCTATTTCTTGGTTGTTGGCTATTTTTATTTTACTATTTTGTTGAGTTTTGGGAGTGGGTTTTCACCACCCACCTTCTCAACTATAATGAAATTTGAAAGTTCATTATGCAGAAAACAACAAGCAGAAGCAATATACACTCAAACTAATGTAAATACTATATATTGGCGACTCAAAATATTATATCACAGTACATACGAAAACTTCCATTATTTTTAGATTTCTATCTCTTTTCTATTTAGGACAGGTAAAGGTTCAGTAAAGGCCCCAAACAAAAGAAGCATAAGCCCACGTCCACACAAGAGAAGCACCAAAACCTAAGATAAAACATATTAATACCAAGATATTCTAAAATAGAGCAAAAGAGGGAGATTTCAGTCAGAGCCATGCATTAAATGACCAGAACAACTCTGTTTTAGTCAAGATAAACTCTGTTACTCATTGCTATAATGTTAAAATATATATTTATTGCTGCTACTGGCCTTCAAACTGATACAAAGTATGAACCTTTTTCAACTTTTGAAGATGCTCAAATAATGAGACAACAAGAAGATTTCAGCAAGCTTAAGCATGAAAAAAGGTGAAGCAACAAAAGCATCTCCATAAGATAAGGGTACGAAGGTCCACAAATTCTCTACTGTAGAATGATGAAGCATAAAGTGTCTGTATAGCAATCTGAATATCATGCTAGAGGATTATTGTAAAAACAATAACCTTTCAACTCCACAAAATCTCAGTGAAAGAATCTGAAAGCAATAATGACCATGACATGATAATATGCTTGACAACCTAATTGAATAATACAGCTCATTCATGTATTCCCCAAAAACAAAATTGAAAATTTCAAACATTAACCAATTAAACTTAGCACTGGAATTGAAACAAAGAAAAGATGAGGGATAAATAATGGAGAGAACAAGGAGGATGTAAGAAACAACGGACATTTTCCATGAATATAAAAAGTAAAGTTTACAAGGGAATAAAAATGAACAATAAAACAAAAAGCTGACACTAGAGAGGTGATAAGAAATTCAGCATCAACCATAAAAAAAGCCTCAGAACAAATTGCAGAGTAATTCCATTGGGTAATTTAAACCCAACATAACTGTAGTTAATATATCAGCCTCAAGGCAAAGAAATAAGAGAAACAAAAAATTGGAACTCGCAACGTAGACTATAATAGCTCTTTGAAACAAATTTGAAAGGAATCATTTTCACATTGCAGATGCAAAAAATAAAAAATAAAAAATAAAAAAATAGTTCATTTCTTTTTTCATTTTCTTCTCAGAAATCCAAGGTAGCAGTTGATACGAACAAACAAAATGGTTTTTAAAAAGAATCATGTTAATCACCATGCAATCTCAGTTCCTGTTCCCAAAACCTATGCTAATCTTCAGCAGGAAGACAGTTGCATAAATTTCACCAAGGTATTCCATGGTTTCTATCCTGGCTCCTTCAAAAATTAAAAAATAAAAAGCCAAGAATGAATTAAAAAAAGGATAAAATAGCAAGCCTTGAAAAGGTCAATGTTACCGGGTATTCCTTTAATCATTGCAGCATCAACTGTTGCTTGAGTTTTTCAACAGTCTGGGACTTCTCTTTGCATATCAATGTTGCCCCTTTCTACAAGAGTCAAACCTGCTACAACAAGATTTTTACTTAATATTACTCCTTGTCTTACTGAAGAGTTCTTCCAGAAACTAGTAGAAACACTGGAAGCCCAAGATGGAGACATCACCCACTTCCTCAAGTAAACACTTCCATCATTGTCAAACACATGATTACTACTTTCATATATCTCATCCAAAGGTTTTGTTCCTTGAGCAGGTTTTTCTCCTGGCTCAGTAAATTTAGTAACCAATGGTCCAGCCCAATAATATGCAGCAAGAGTTTGGCACACAATATCACCGTAGGGTGCATATTGCAAATATGAGAACAGTACAAGTTTTATAGGATCATCCAACAACTTGCGCATAAACTGAAGGGCCTGCAGTCTTGCAATACTGTTGACAGCACTCATAATAGCCCTTTCCTTCCCTTTGTGGGCACCATATACTTGAAATATTAATTGATCACTATCCCTGGGTCCATAATCACAAATAAACTTGTGTGAAGCAATAACTTCACTAACGAATGCATGCCAAACATCCCGTCTTAACTCACCTCCCAAGTCGACAAATTCCAGCACCCATGTCCCTGACCTGATTATAATTGAGATGTAAATGTAAAGAGAGTAGGAAATTTACCGGGAAGGGCAGACAGATACAAGACCATCAACTATGTGACTCAATACTCAAGATACATTATGCGACTCCTGAATTTGGTTTCAATTATTTACCTCCTTATATTTACCCTTGTATTTATGAAATCTGTTTACTGTTTCTTCTCAGGGGAAAAATGAAAAGAAAAATAGAAAGAAATATACTTTTCTGCTAATAAAATTTAACCAAAATGCAAACATTGACAGATATACTGGCATACAGATATAAATCAAGGAGAGTAACTATTATTATTATATTATTATTATTATATTATTATTATTATACAAAAGAATTGTAAACAATTATACACAGTTATACTTCAAAGCACAAGGACTGATAGACTCGAGAAAGAAGTCCTTGAACACCCACCCACGTGAACACATGATGGCTCCTTGAGTCATACAACATGCAAATGAAATCAATCTTTAAATACTCTTGACTTGATTTTTTAATGAGAAATATTTGAAGGTTCCTTTTTCTTTATGTTATAATCTTACATTTTCTAGACTATATTTACTACTGAATACAAAAACAAGATTAACTTTTGAGTAGCTCTTTCATTCTTAACCATAATAATGCAGTTTTAATGCTTGCATCTGATCAACATCAATTATTTACGAAACCTTACTCCAGTATCCATGTAACTTCACAGGAAAAGGTATGTAAAAAGCTTACTCACTCAATGCCAGATGAAACAGAGACAGCTGAATCAAAAAGATCAAAACCCAAAGGTCCAACTTTTGCTTTCTTTACCTGTAATCCATGTCTTGCAAGATCAAGCCTTTTGACACCTTTTTGCCCCAGCAAGCCAACAGCCTATGAAATAGTTGAAATGCAATAACTTATTAAGAAAGAACGCGAAAAATAGAAGGATTAAATTTTACCAGCTCCAAAGTTGTTTGGGACCAGATATGACACAATAATTTTTATCATACATCCTTCTTAAATGGCTAGAAGAAATATAAACAATATTGATTAAGCTAAAAAGCACCAAAAAAATAAACGTGCTCTTTGTATTAGTACAACTGTAAGACATAGATGTGAGTGACAAATGTATATAACAGAACATTATTTGAACCGAAGTGACAATAGAGAATGTGTATCTTGTAACTGACTTAACCCTTTTTCCTAATCACTACACTGCCCACACTCAGGGAGAAATTTCTGACTCTAGGTCAGGAAATCAAATCAAAACATATACTTGAAAGCACTGCCTTTTATCCTATAGTTCTGAAAACTAACACTTTATGTAAGAAACAAACAAGACAACATTAAGCATCCAAGTTGTTTTGAGCAATTCAAATTTCTATTGCGTTACAAAGTTACTTCGGCAATTAAAAGACAGTATCTTAACTCATGCAGGTTACTTTAGCCATTGAAAGATATAACTCACAATCATGAACAGAAATTCTTATTAATCTTAAGAACCCTCTAAGCAAAAACCAACAATTTGTATGGTAGGAAACTTCACCTTTCGTGAAAACACTTTGGATTAGAAAATGCAGAATGTTTATCATTTAAGCTCAATTTCTTTAGACTTTCTTTGAAAAAAAATCCTAACCCTTAAAATCAATCACTAACTTAGGAGAAAAGCAAAAAAATAAAAACAAAAAAGAAATACCTCAAAATACAATGCTTTATCAGTTAAAGTAAGTTTTCCTGGCAATGCCATGTTATTCTCCCATTTTATGACAGGCCTCTTCCTGCTGGAACCAATGCATAAGATTCTCTCCCTAGAAAGCTGAGAAGATTCACGAATCTGGTACGAGTTCTGTCCTTCATGCACTGTGCAACAAAACCAGCAAGAAATGAGCATCCAAAAATGTAATAAGAAATGATTTAACCCCAAACAAATGGACCAAAACCTAAACCAGCAATATAGGTACAGTTATGTCACATGTAATCCCTGTATTTATTTTCTGAAACTCCCATATTGCAAAAAAATTATATTGTACTTTTCTTTACCTAGGTCAAAGGAAACATATCATATAGGAAATTGGAGGAAACCATCCCAAAGCCGTTACTCTGCAATGAAATTCATCCAAAGAGAACAGCCCAGCTTAACTAGTTCATAGATGAATGGAAACATAGAAACATAAATTAATTGAAATTAAGTCCACAAACCTTCAGGCAGGGATGGATGTCTGAGCTATATGTTGACAAAAACCTAAACCAGCAATATTCCACTAAATTACGGGCATCAGAGTAGACAGATTCAGGAACAAGTGCTATAAATATCTTCTGCATTTTTTGTCCAGTCAAACCGTTCATCCTGCATTTCTTAAGTTCCCAAAGTCAAATCCTAATTCTCGTATTATCAAGACGGGCAGACAACACTCAGTCAAAATACCATAGTTCTCCATACAGATTCCATCATTTATGATGATGTTCGAGTATCCATTGGTCAAGCAAATAAATTACATTCACACACTCACAAACACACTATACAGCTACTGCATGCAAACTAATTGTACACATTAGAAATTCAGAAATTGCGTATGATGGATGGAATTGCTAATTGCACCAAAATGTTAGGAAAAGCATAGCATGAAAATTTGCAAGTCTCCATTGTTAAGCATATTAAACTTAGCCAAAAAAGTAAACATCAAAACAAAAGAAAACTCACATCTTTCATCTCATTTTAAACAAGCATAACTTCAAAAACTATAAAATTACATGTTTCATTATCCACGTAAATTTAAGTAACATGCAGGAGAAACTTAATTGATAGGAATTAAGGACATAAAATGCCACCTTTGCTCACCAACAAATTTAGTTTGACAAATGATGATTTTAATTATATGCAGACTAGATCCTTACATCGAATCTTATTTGTACGCACTCAGTAGCGGATTTTGGCTTAAAGGGGAAATGAATAATACACTAGAGAATTTTCGTAAGACACTGCTTCTCCTATAATTTCCATCCTTTTTCTTTTCTCTTTAAGGAGAGTCATGATACTATCTGAAATTTTCTTCCAAAATATCTAATAGATCTTTCTTTGTATCATCAAAAAAATAAGAACAGACATTCAAAAACTAATTTGATCCCAAAAAATTCACACTCCCACCTGCAAAATTGCTCAATAGATACAATAGCAGCTAAAGAAAGAATCCCATTCGGCGTATTACTATCAATGGTTTGTTCTGTCATAAAAATATCCTCCATCTCTTGACTATCAAATTCATTTCTCGGATCAGGCTTCCCACTGTGACCCGTCTTCACCAGCGCCTCATTCAAGAAATTTTGAGTCTTGGATAGCCATGAATTAAATGTTTCTTGTACTGCACCTGTCAACACAACAAACAAATCCACAAACAGAACCATAAAACAAAAAAGAACATATAGAAACTAAAATAGCATCAATAAAGGATAAATTCCCTCATAATTTACAAATAAATAACAGTAATTCACAACAAAAAGAAAGAAAATCCCAAAAGAAATAAGTTAAAGAGCTTACTGGTGTCAATATCATTAAGCTTCCATCTATCTCCAAGAGACTGACCCACAATCTTGAACCTTAACCTGTGGTCTAAAGAAGAAGAAGAAGGTCTTGGGAAAAATCCCAGCTTAGAAAGCTCTCTATGGCACCAAACTGAAGAACTGGAAGCAGGTGAAGATGGCTTCAGGGGGGGAAGTGAAAGTTTTGAGACCCTTTTTCTTCATTTTTTTTTTTTTTTTCTTTTTGTTTCTAGGTTTGTTTGTCTATGAAGAAAAAAAGAGGAAATTTAACTCCCCAGACATCCCAAGTTTGCATTTAACAAAATGACCCTGAAAATCTTTTTGATTTTTTTTTAATTTAGAAAAGCTAACGTGACACACTTAAGATTCATTAAACATGTAAAATGGGTAAACTGAAAAGATTTAAATATATGTAGGTAAAATCATAATTAACGAACGTTGTTTAAATTTTAAAATTTAAAAATAAGCCCCCACCCTTCAAAATCGCTTAATCAAGCCATATACCCAAAAAACGACTGACGAAAACTATTCCATTCTCTGTGATTTCCGACGACTACAGTGCCTAAATTCTGACAAATTTTCAATCCACTTTCAATCATAAAGCTTCCTTACACAAAACCATGGCTGGCATTCACAAAGAGGAGGAAAACCCAGCCCCACTTCGAATCCTAGACTCCGGTGGCGCCAGCAGTTCAAAGGCTGTCGAAGACTACGCTTCGGTGGATCACCTGATGAGTGAAGGTGGTCCACAGGTAGAGGAGACAACGACAGCATAAGAACAGAGAGAAGAATCGGAAAACGGTTTTGAAGAGGAGGACGACGACGAGAATTCAACTGAGAAGGAAGACGCCGATGAAGAAATGGTACTTTTTTTAACTTGTTTTTTTGAATTGGATGAGAAAATGGATTGATTTGTGCGAATTTGGGGGAGATGTGGTTGTGGCGTTTTGTCGAGCAGTTGGTGGGCATTGATGAAGTGGCTTTGTTTGGGTTCCAGAGGATGGGGGAAGGCAAGAGAGGTCATAGGGAGGTTGTTTCAGAGAATTTTGTGGGCTAGGGATGGTAGGAGGTGGCCAAATTTGGTGGGCTGGTAGGGCTGCCCTGCATATTGGCAAGGCTGGCCACGCACAGCGCTTGCCAATATGGGCTTGCATGATTGTTGGCTATGATTGTACCAAACAATCATGCAAGTCCTACTATAAAGCTGTAAAGGTTGCATAATTGTTTGCAGGGCTGGTTATGGTTGTTGTGTTAAATTGCAGGGCTAGCTATGATGCATTAGATTTTTCGTTGCTTTATTATATAACTAACGCCCCACTTGAGATACGTAGCTAATGTTTATTGTATTGTCTAAATGTTTATTGTTTTGCTCTCAATTGAGTTTGTATGTTGGTAATCTTGTTTGGTTGGCCTTGGTTGAAGTGATGTGTTGGTTTGGTTGAGTGTTTACCCTGAAATTGGTTAAAACTTAGCGAATTTTGAGGTTACAGTCTTCGCCGTGGCGACGTAGGCCTTGGATTTCTTCGTCGGGGCAAGGAAAAGTCTTCGCCGCAGCGAAGAGTCGGCAGAAGAGTTGGGTGAAGTTTCTAGAGAATTTTTCCATAGGGGCAAAATGATCATTCTACCCCTAATTAGTAGGAAAAGTGGAGAGTGAAATATAAGAAAATTTCATGGAGAATGCATTAGAGTTGGAGGTGTGAGTGCAATGAATTAAAGGACAAAGATGGAATTTCTAAGAAAGAGCAAGGGCAAAATGGGAAAGGATGGTTATAATATGAGTTAAAAAGGGATTAACTATAGCAAACCCTTTATTCTTCTTCTACCACCACCATTCCCATTCACCACTTTCTCTCAACTCTTCATTCAATCTTTCAAGGATTTTAGAGGGCTTTTTGAATGGTTTTGGTAGAAAGTTAATCTAAAGCATCCTAAGGTAAGGATTCTTGCTTTAGATGTGAATTTATTTATAGATATGTTGAAGTCTTATAGTATTGTTGATTAAAGTTGTAGAGAAAAGACAAGCTACCAAAGAAAAAGAGAAGTGCTAATGGAGTCACTTACTTACAAGAGTAAATCCAACCCAAGTTAAGTTTTAAGAACTCCTTTGAGTAAAGATTTGTTTATGCATGTATGTATTATGCTTGTTGAGAGATTGAGATGTTATGAGTATTTATCTATGTTGTTATTGAATATAATTGAGTTATGAGAAACGTTTTGATTGCATGATGATGAGTTGAGTTTGATTGAAGTTGGAGAGAGTTTTGAGCAAACCCTATGGGAGTGTTTTTCCTTGACAAGAACTTAGAGTGTATGAGGGAGTTTTCTCTCATTTTTGGATAATTAAAGAGAGGAGAAGAGTTATAGTTAAAATAGAGTTTTTGTATGCACATGAGTTGTTTAATGAAATGCTTAAGAGAGGCATGAGTAAGAGTAGAGAACCTTAATTATTGCTACATGGCATAATTGCATTTCATTAGTGCATGAATGAGCATGAGTCATTCGTATGCATTAATTGTGTATTGGAGAAGTAACTTGAGAAAGAGTAAAGAATTTTGAGAAGCAACTACTCTAAGAGTAAAGAGAAAGAGAGATTAAGCACTAGAGAACAAA